TAAATTGCACTGTGTGGGTGTAAGCAGGGTGTAACTTGCACTGTGTGGGTGTAAGCAGGGTGTAGATTGCACCGTGTGGGTGTAAGCAGGGTGTAGATTGCACTGCGTAGAGTAAGCTACACTGTGACTGTGTAAGCAGGGTGTAGTATGGTTGTGCATGCACAAGCAGGGTGTAGGTTTTACTCTGAGTGTGTAAGCAGGGTGTAGATTGCACTGTGCAGTGTATGTTGCATTGTGAGTGTGTAAGCGGGGTGTAGATTGCACTGTGAGTGTGTAAGGAGGGTGTAGTTTGCTCTGTGCATGTGTAAGTGGGGTGTAGGTTTCACTCTGCGTGTGTAAGCCGTGTGTAGATTGCACTGAGTGGTGTAAGTTGCTCTGTGCGTGTGTAAGTTGGGTGTAGGTTGCATTTTACGTGGGGTGTATCTTGGTTGTGCATGCACAAGCAGGGTGTAGTTTGCTCTGTGTGTGTAAGTGGGGTGTAGATTGCACCATGCGTGTGTAAGCAGGGTGTACGTTGTGCTGTGCGGGTGTAGTTGGGGTCTAGGTTGCGCCGTGTGTGTAAGTAGGGTGTAGTTTGCTCTGTGCGTGTGTAAGCGGGGTGTAGATTGCTCTGTGTGTGTAAGCAGGGTGTAGGTTGCATTTTACGTGTGTAAGCAGGGTGTAGATTGCACTGTGAGTGTGTAAGGGGGTAGTAGATTGCTCTGTGCATGTGTAAACTGGGTGTAGATTGCACTACACGGGTGTAAGTTGCACTGTGAGTGTGTAAGCGGGGTGTAGTTTGCTCTGTGTGTAAGCAGGGTGAAGATTGCACAGAGTGGTGTAAGTTGCTCTGTGAGAGTGTAAGCGGGGTGTAGATTGCACTGTGAGTGTGTAAGGAGGGTGTAGATTGCTCTGTGCAGTGTAAACTGGGTGTAGATTGCACTACATGCGTGTAAGTTGCACTGTGAGTGTGTAAGTGGGGTGTAGGTTTCACTCTGCGTGTGTAAGCAGGGTGTAGATTGCACTGTGTGTGTAAGTTGCTCTGTGCGTGTGCAAGCGGGGTGTAGTTTGCTCTGTGTGGTGTAAGTTGCACTGAGACTGTGTAAGTGGGGTGTAGTTTGCACTCTGCGTGTGTAAGTGGGGTGTACTTTGCACTGTGCGTGTAGGTGGGGTGTAGGTTGCACCATGTGCATGTAAGCGGGGTGTAGATTGTACCATGTGTGTAAGCGGGGTGTAATTTACTCTGTGCTTGTAAGCGGGGTGTAGGTTGCACCACGTGTGTGTAAGCAGGGTGTAGGTTGTACCATGTGTGTGTAAGCGGGGTGTAGATTGCCCTGTGAGTGTGTAAGCAGGGTGTAATTTACTCTGTGCTTGTAAGCGGGGTGTAGGTTGCACCACGTGTGTGTAAGCAGGGTGTAGGTTGTACCATGTGTGTGTAAGCGGGGTGTAGATTGCCCTGTGAGTGTGTAAGCAGGGTGTAGATTGTACCATGTGTGTAAGCGGGGTGTAATTTACTCTGTGCTTGTAAGCGGGGTGTAGGTTGCACTACGTGTGTGTAAGCGGGGTGTAGATTGCCCTGTGAGTGTGTAAGCAGGGTGTAGATTGTACCATGTGTGTGTAAATTGCTCTGTGTGTGTGTAAGCGGGGTGTAATTTACTCTGTGCGTGTAAGCGGG